TATTAAAGATGAGAGCTTTCACAAAAAGCAGCTCATAAGTATTACAAAAAAGTTCTTATTAAGGAGAAATCCTAACATACCCAATTAGAGGTTAGAATATTTGCAAAGTGTATCACAAAACTGAGGATGTGTTTCATAAAGAAGAAACACTTAAAACGAGGCAATGTTCTAACTGACTAGAACAATGAAGACTTTTCCCCAAAAAAATTGTACACCATAGTACTTTTTTATGGTACCCGTTTTTCAGCAAGAGTTGTTATCTGTGAAATTCACAGATTGGTACTACTGAGGAAATACAAATTACATGATATTTCAACTCTCACAAAGTTATGCTTATTTTTCCATTATTCAGATTTTTAAAGAATTTCTTTTATAAAATTGTGTTTAAAAATATTGATAGTTTAATCTGGGAGGGCAGTTAAATTTAAATAATTTTCTTTCTAAAAAATGACTATATTAAATTTTTCACTTGCATGCTCTTATGAAGTAGTCATATGTTTCATATATATATATGAAAATTATATATATATAAAAAACTTTATTTCTATTGACACAAAACAGTAAAATTACTATGTCTAACAATCAAGAGGGCATACATGTTTTGTTTTGTTTTCTTTATTAGAAAAACATGATTTCTCTGGTATCTATTTATCCAAACTTTTTTGGTAAGAAGATGTCAATATTTAAGAAGTCTTAGAACGTGTTATCCTTTCTCTCAACCATCTCTCTACCCTACTTCACAGAGTTCAATTAGAATTGAATTAGAAACAAGTTATCTTAAAAATAAAGTAATCTTATCAGATGTTTATTTGATTTTTTCCTGAAAAGATAGTTTCATTTATATGAACATGTGCAGACAAAAATCCGGTCTGAGAGCAAAATATAATTTATTTTTCTCTAAACCAGCCTGTGTGTTCCATTCATTAATACAAGACCTTACATGTGGAAGCCTTTTCTGCATGGTGTATCACTCTGCTCTGGGGACTCTTTGAAAGTAAGCTTTTCAAGTTCATCCCCTACAGACATCCCTGAAGTGTCTGGGAACTTAGCCTTTGCTTTCACCAGACATTCGAAAATGGAAGGCTTTGGAGCTGTACAACATAGCTGTGCAACTCATTACGGGACAAAAGGATGTCTGGGGTTAGGCAGGCAAGCAACTAATGATCCTTCATTTTGTCGAGAAAGCATCCAGATCGATATGTAGGACATGCAACATTTATGGAACACTATGTTTTCTTTTACTCTAGGGAGGGAGAATACACTGGAAGATTCTATCTATCTATCTATCTATCTATCTATCTATCTATCTATCTGTAAATGATGTCAGCACTCCAATGATTGGCACTGTTTAACAAGTGTCTCTGGCCTTCCCTTCCTGTCTGCTGCTAGCAACACTGCCCTTGGTCTTTGCTAACTTCCTGTACCACTTTCAGAAGTCCTCAATAACGCAGTCTTTTTGCATATGCTGTATACTAATCTCCTTTGGTCCAGGTAATTACAATCTGGAGATAACATTATATTTAAAATAAGCAGAATAAGTTAGGAGGAGTATCCATTAGGCCAGCTTGATAAATGATACTCATCAAAAATAGAACTTTTCAAATAAATGTGAACAGCTCAGGGAGAGATGAAGCATGACCCAAAAGCCAGTATCTTTTGAGCCCGTTATTGATGTGAATCATGTTCAATAAATATATTGTTTCTATAATGATTCAAATTAAAACAGTGATGACAACGTAAGTGTGGTCAATGTTATCTCTCCCTGAAAATAGTCTTCAAATTATGAAGTTTTTGAAATTTGAAATTCAGAGTCACATCAAAGTTTTGGGTTGAAATAGATACTTTGGAAATTAGATGTTCGTGTCAGGAAAACAAATAGCTTTGTATGTCCTATAATAGTTATCATTACTGTCAGGAAAGACAAAATGACACCGTGCTTGCTCAATGGCACCTGAACACTTCTGCAAGTCCTGCCAAGTTGTATTTATAGTGGTCATACGAACATGGCACAAGTTGATCTGTACTTATTTAAAGTAAGTCTCAAAGCAAAGTTCTACTATGAACAGAAATCTATGACCCAGACACCCATGTCATTCTCAATCTCATCTCTTATGAAAAGAACATTAGTGATTTAACATTCAATCTTTTCTATACTTTTCTTAGTACCTGAGGATATCAGGTCACTATGGGAACACTTTCATAGTTTTAAAACGCTGCATTAAAACCATCAATATGAAGTTCTGCAAAATCACAAATTTCTGAATTTAATCATTGTAGATCTTGATAATGAGAAAAGTTGAGATTCTTCAATTTATTTTCAATTTTGTTGTTGTTTCGGGTGTATCACATGAATTAAGATTGATTTTCATTAGTAAGTCCACAAACAAGGTCCAACTCTCGAAAGTAGTATATTCAAAGAGGTTATCAAAACGTTCATTTTTAAAATAAATTGAAGGATTGTTTCCAATTGCTGCTGGGGTTCCCAGTGATGTTCTACTCTCTGTTTTAAAAAATTGGATTAAGATATAAATTCTGAAAATAAGATTTCAACAGTACACAACAAATGAGCTATGAAGATCATTTAAGGCAGTCAGCATGCACCCAAAATCAATTGTACCTACGATGACTTTGTAATTATACCCATGAGGGCGATTTTCTATTTTATTTGCTGAACTGTCATACTTTGCATTATGTCCCCTGTTATCCCACTTCAAGTTTAGGTGTGAAAGATTAAGTACTTTCAATTAGCATATGAAGTTTTTATTAAAGTCTACTTGATTTCCAAAGGAATACATAAAAGAGCAAAGTAGTGAAATGATTATCATTATTATATATTTAATTCTATCATAAAGTGCAAACCTCAGAAGAATACAGAGTTAGAGCTTTACATTTATAGGTAAATATTATTATTTTTTCTTAGTCCCATGAGACACAAGTAAGTGGGAAGCACAAAACCAAGTTCCTGCTATTCACAATGTTTCCATTGGGTGTAGCTATGATATTAGATAGGTTAATTTCAGAGCCAGTGTATTCACGAAGAATACCCAGGCCTTTGGGGATTCATAGTGACTTCCCTTGTCTTTACCATTAAGTAGTATTAGGAAGCTGTGTGTTCTATGGGAAAAATCAAATAAAATATTTACAAATCAGCTAGATCCCTGAGGATTTCTATATCATCGTTCCTCAAAAGGAAGAAACCTAAAATGTTAAAATCTGTGGAAATTTAATCAACAATGATTTTGACATAGTTTTCTTGTTAAAATCTTTTAAATAAATAAATCATTCACACCTAGCTCGAATACCTTTTACATAGGTGACCCCTGTTAGATAAATTGGTAAAAATAACATGAATATCTACGATAATGCAACTCCATTATTCTTTGACAGGTCTGAGCAGAGTGTCTTAAAATGCTGTTTATGCAAAAAGGAAAAAAAAAATATTTCTCCTAGAATGCAAGGGCAGCTTACATGCTGAGATGAAAACTGCTAACTCTTTTCTTAACAACACCATATGTCTCCAATTGGATCATAATGCAGTCAGTTCTCAAGGGAATGTTACACATAGAAGCTAACCAAATCAAAGCACAGACCTCACTTATGCCCACTAGCTGATTATCTAGTAGTCAGCCAATTTGGATTTTGTCATGTCATCTACAGGTCAGTCCAAGGGGTACTGCTGCTCTCCTGACATCCTCCCAAAACCAATCACGTCAGAAAATATCTTTGACTCCCACACACAAGTATTTCTTTTCATTTACATTTTTCTATAGAATGTCAGTATATTTTAGAGAACTGAAATACTCAACACCAAATACTCTAATAGATCTTAAATGGATGTGTTGTAGCCCAAACACTACTGAAATCCATCTTTAAGAAAATACAAAAAGAAAAATATTGTAAGACTGAAGAAATCATTTTTTCTCTGAGGATCATCATAATCAAAAGACAAACAATCCAATATTTCTTAGTCAGGTAGTTCTTTAATCATTGTAACCTTTTATCACTTTAAAACTCCATTCAATCATTAATTTTTGTACGCACTATTGAATTAATTTTAAAATTTACTTAACATCAAGTATCTCCCGAGCATCTTATGTCAGATTAATACCAAGTTGAGTCATTTAAAACACTGATAGGCATTTTATATTCAATTCTTTTATGTTGAAGATAATTCTTACTAACATAAAGTTGTATCTTTTTATAATACATATATAAAACTGTAAGAATTTTGCTGTGTGGAATTGTGAAATGCCATGGATATTCTAGAGTGGGATTTAAACTAGCTCAAATGACTATAAATATTTTAAAATTCTTTAATCTGTTAGTAACTGATATTACCATAAAATATAAAATTATGCATTCAAATTTCATAACAATGTCAAATTGCCATAAGAGTTACTCCATGTTTACATTTAGATGAAATTTTCTTACCACTGACTGGTAAGATGTTTGGGGTCTGCAGTCACTCTGGACTCTACTATGAATAACTATGAATATCACTGCTATTTTGTAAATTACAAATCAACCTTTTGATTTTTTTCATTTTTGTGTATTATATATGTGTGCAGTACATAATGCTCACATTCCACGTAGGAAGTTGGAACACATATATGGCACATCCCAATTCTGTTTTTTCATCCCCTGCCTCTTTCCTCCTATTATCCACCCTCCATCTCTTGATCCCCTTTTACCTTCAGAATGATCTCAAACTTTCAACATTAATGCTAAGAGTCATAAGCGTTTGACATAACAAGTGCATTCTTTATGCTTTGTTATGATTTCATGATTTCCTTCTAATACATGTTAGGGAATTAGCATCCTGTATTCAAAGAAGGGACAAATGGGAATCACCAAGAAACTTCTCAGAAAGGAAAGTTGCTACACAGTATTGAAAAATACACACTTATGAAAGCAGATATAGACTTGTTTCACTCTGCATTCATTGTATAATTGCAATAAGCAATGGTACTATTCAGTGATTTCTTCATGATAGCTCTTACCTGGGATGCCTGGTGGTGTTTTCAGATATTTTCCATTAAAATGTTGAATTACTACTTCACATTTTTCAGTAGATTCCATTCTAGGAAAAGAAGGTAAATAGTAAATCAAACACTTTTTAATATTTTATATGCTTTTATATATTTTGTTATATTTTTGTCATGTTCTGACTATTAGAAAAAGAGAAAAGGGAGGAATGAAAGGGAGAGAGAGAGTGAGAGAGAGAGAGAGAGAGAGAGAGAGAGAGAGAGAACAAAAAAGTAACAGAAAAGTTTGATTTGGTAATGACCCAAATTTTTGGCATTACCAGACTGAGCTGTCTGATAACAAAACATCTGAAATTCATCACTGTTGAAAGTGTAGCCCCTGTATCAAAATTGCCTATGCTGATATTTTTGTGCTGAGTCCTCAGTCAGAAGTAACCCTGAGATATTGTTTTCTCTGAGTCATACAAAGACATCAGGCACTAGAAGCACTCAATAAATGTTGATCGGATGACTAAATTAGTACACCTGAAAGGTAGGTTAATATTGATGAGGGCACTGAGGATTTTCCATAAGGGGTGGAGTGAGGTTTGAAGCTCTAATGCCTATCCAATATTAAAGCCTGTACTATAATTAGTATGCTACACTGGCAGGGACTCTATAAAATAAGTCACAGAAATGTGTTTCACTTGAACAACTTGCAGCCCAAAGTGGAGATTAGCATAGCAGTGTAGTTACCAGCATCAGGAGGTTTTTATTGAGAACCTGGGGTATGGAAGATACCCCACATGAGCTATTTGAAGTCCAACACATAGAACAAAGATATAAATGCACAAAACTGAGGTCCTATACTTTTTGAAGCTTGGACAATCCTTCACTTTCTATTTTGTACTGGATATCTATAGTCCCTAAACTGCAATTTTTTGTGTAAAACTTAGGCTTCTGATATACAATCCAAGCGATGAACATTTTGAGTACTGCCTTGATAATTTTGGTACAGTGGATATAATACTCAAATACAATAGCATTTGCACCAATATTTAAATAATGAATTACATATGCTTTTATTATTTTACAAAATTAGATGTAGAAGATTGAAATGAAAGAGTTGAGTTTAATGAAAGAAAATGAAATCCTACAAAGAGTACACTAGGTATGAAAATAAGGAACAGCACACATACTCAGAAAAGAATGTAAATGAAATGTGTGAAATTTGACCCAAAGGCAAATTATAACTTTACATTTTTCTGTTATGTCACTAATATGAACTTTCTTGGAATGGAGCCCATCACTTCGAGTTGTAAATTTTTTTGTATCGAAATTTTACATGTTTTGGGACCATACTACATATAGAAGAAACAAGATAAGAAGCATATGTTAACAAATGCCAATATGTTATACAAATATTTTATAGCTACAGAAAGTCAGTAAGAGGAAGCAGAAAAGCCAGAAAAGCATGAGAAGGCTCCAAAAGCAGAAAAGACCTTTGGAGAAATTGGTAGGGCAAGGGGCTGAGCTAGGCTGCTGGGAAAACCTGGGTCATCTGTATGATGTAGCAGTGAGCAGATCACAGATAAAGTGGGGAGTCCACCAGGGAAACAGGTAGAGGACTCAGGCAAGGTATCTGTATCGCTATGCTAATAAATTTAGAGATATCTAAAGGGGTCCACTGGGAGCTGTAATTATTTTGTGAAAATTTTGCACAAGTTTATTTTTAGATGCACCATTCTAGGAAGCATGGTATGAAATTTTTCTGTATACTTATGCATGGCAAATCTCTGCTTCTAACCAGGAAAAACTAATGGCAATATGACCCTTGTCTTCACATGGAGCACTTTCCATAGAACAATTCTGTACTTGGTTGACATCTCTGTTGTCACTGTCTTAAAATTGTTAATAATTTTATAACAAAAGATCCTAATTTGTTGTCCTTCACTGGAATCCATAATTTATGATCCTTATATCTGAAAGGTTTTTGCTCCAGACAGGACACTGTAGCCGGTGAAGCCTTGGAGGTGGAGCCAAGGGACTCTATCTTGAAGTCATCTTCCCCGCCCTTAGCAATTTACCTGTGGCACAAAATGAATACCAATGGGCTCCCTGTGCATCACTAATGCCCCTTAGGCACCACCCCAAACCTAAGCTACATGTATGCCCCTATACCACGTGTCTGGCTGCAAGAATGCCAGACCCCAGAGTGTCAGGGGATCTCTCACCACATTCTTAAAATAAAGGTCACTTTTATTTTATATTTCTTATCTCTTCAGCCATGCCAAAATCCTATCAAATGATTCCCTTTTGTGCCGAAAAATTCTATCAATATCTGGCTATGAAAATATTGTAGAAGAAACTAATTTGATATCAGTTGCCCTGTACTTTATCAGATGTCACCAAAGATTCATGTATTACTTAGGGAAAATCTTAAGAGTGAGTAATTTTTTGATGTGTAAATAAAATATTTTTAAGCTTCAAGTGAAATTTTAACAAAGTAAAAATTTTGTTGATTACTTAATAGCAACCCCTTCCATCAGAAGACACTCAAGTAAGAAAAAAGTCAAGATGAATCTTCTTTCATCCCTAGTACATAAGAGCAGATATGTGCAATTTCAACAACTCTTATAGGTTTTTGTCCAGTGGAATCTGTTACCATAGCTTTCCAATTTGTTTAAGTAGTTTTTGAAAGTAAGAAACTTATATTTCTAGGAACAAAAGAATTCTTACTGCTCTATCTCCCAACAAGATCTACCATCTATTGTCTCTTAGGGAAAATAACCTTTCTCCCTAGCAGATACATGAATGGGAGTGGAACTATAAGCCCTTAATTACTACAGATGTTACTTTATGGAATTTTTATTCCAGGAGAGCTACAGAATAAAAAGCGTATGCCCCGGAGCCCCCTCCTTGTTCAATCTCTCTCTGGGTACCCGTCTAGCTAAAAGGCAGTTAAGACTCGCTTTAGAGTCTTGCATGCATGCCTGCAAAAGACCTACAAATCAAATCCTTTCTCTCTGTCTTAAAATGACAGGGAATTCTATATAAAGACCCAAACTAGACAGGGGTGTGTGTTGGTTGACTATACATGTGTTTTAGGAAATACACAGAAAACGGAAAAAGAAAATCAGATGGAAAATTCACTCTGCCCACCTACAATATTTTTATTCTGGCTTGAAAGCTTCAAGTCTTCCCTTATGGATTCTAAATATGACCATCTTTTCTTAACACTGCTTTACAGCCCTGTGAGACTGGATGGGGGCTGTTTCTATGAACACAAAGACAGCAGTGTAGATTGTTCACTTTGGGTTCATTCAAATTTAACTCAGTGAATGTCTGCTGTGAGCCTTTAGAGACTCTCTTCTCTCAAAGAATAAATGCAATAAAAGTCTGTTTTCTGTAGCTGCCGGCTACAGTGTCAAATCATGTTATCCTGCACCACCCAGCAGTGACAATTTCATTTTAAAACATGGGGCACATTTTAACAAGCCAAAACAGTCCCAGAAACGATGGCAATCTGGGAGCTGCCAGGGGAAGGGCTCGGCACTTCAGCATTTCATTTGGAAACAACAGAAGTGAGACCTAGAAAACTGGAGAGGGGGGAGGATGTATCTGAATAGCCATGTTTGGAAGAATGGGCCCATTTTTTTCTCAAGTTTCACAATTAACCGCTCTGAAATGCCAGCCTGAGCGATGTGAAATCTGGCGCACGCTTCAGCTGAAACCGACACTAGCATTATCAAGTGAAGCTGAAAAGACAGCACAGCAGACGCAGCTGCCTTTCCATGTCGCTTTCAGACCGGCCACTGAATCATTACAACTGCATCTATTCTTTCTAGGCGGTAACTGAGTCCCCTTGTGTCTCTCCGGACAGCTGAGTTCCAAGCAAACCATTCACCTGACAATACATTAATTGGGCTCTTACAAGACTCCACTCATTGTGGAAAGCTTCAGGGTTTTCTGTTAGGTCTGATGTTTAAATACAAACACACATTAAAGGTCTTGTCTGACCTTTTCTTCTTGTCTCAGTGCCTAGGAATGACTGGTTTCAGTCATTTAAAACACACTGTAGAATTACACAGCCTTAAAAAGAAAAGGGGCCACTTAGAAGAGCAGGTTTCACAGCCAATACAACACAATTCTCACAGACAAATTGTATCAGATGAGAGCTTGATCCAGTATTCGTAGAATGTGCTGGGTCAAACTTAACATGCAGAGATACAAAACTATTTTGCAAAAATCATTTGCAGTGTATTTTACCTCAATAGAAAATCTATGTTTATGTTCTAAAAGCTATAAGCATTATTAACCATGTATTTAAACCAAATCCTTCTTGTCATTTATTGTGGTTAATTAGAGGCTTCCACTATTGTGAAATGTCTGTGGTTTTGCAATCATGGCCTCTGTACAAATTACTGGCAATGGAAAACATCCAGGGTTGTCAGCCAAACATTCTCATTTCCGGTCAGATTTGCGCAAACAGTCAACATTAAAATTTTTCAAGTATGAAAATGGGTGCCCTTTCAGACATTGCAAAAACAAATTATGTCATTTATTTCTTCGTTCATTGTAATGGAGGGAATAATAGTGTGTCCTAGGTATAAAGTTGAATGAATGAGCTGAATTTTCTTAGTTTTTTGTAATTTGCTTTCTTCTTCTCAAGAACTTGACCTTCTTAGGATGCGAGTGTCATGTGTGCCAGTCAGTAAAGCAAAATGACCTCCCTGTCATTGCCTTAAGCAGACACCAGGGATTTGGGAAGTACCTCACTTTGTACTATGACACACTATCCTTGAGAAATGGAACTGTCAATAAGAATTGATTAATGGACTTCTGGGAGAACATGGCGGACAAATAACAGCAGCCACGGAGGCTCTCTGACATTACCAGCTTAGAATCCAGGAGTGGTGCCATGTGAGGAGTACTAAGCAAAGGGAGATGTACCCTGCCGACCCAGGAACAAACTAAGCTGAGAGAAACCAACTGGAAATGCAAACCTGATGCTATAAAAGGAACAGATAAAATCTCAGTGCGGAAGCTGGAGCCTGCCCACTGGAAGCCGCGATTTGAATTTCCTGCTGCTGCTGCTGTTGCTGCGTCCAAATCT